CACTTCAGCCCCGGTATTTGGTTTCTTAATTCCACTTCTGGTGTAAGAGAAGTGTTGGATCTTATAACAAGATGTTAGACTCAGTCTAGTTTCCTAAGAATTAAGCAAATTCCGCACAGAGTCAGATCAATGGCAAATTAGCTCAATATTTGAGTCCTCAGACTGGAAGCAAAGGGTTTGAGAAGAATTTGAGCACTTTTTGTTTTTAACTTAGCTGCAGGACATTTAGAAAACCCAAATTATTTCTTTATATATATATATATATTTATTTCTTGAATCACTGTGGGAAAAGTTACAAAGCTTTCAGGTTTAAGTTTTAGTCATGCAATGATCAAACACATTTCCCTTCACCAGAACTTATTTTTCACCACCAAGAACCCCAATATACCTCCCTCCCACCCCTCCCAATCCCTGTGAGTCAGATGAATTCTATTTAACACTCTATCTACTTTGATTACATTCATTATTTCGACAAAAGATGCACCATTATTGTTTAGAGTTTACACCCAAAAATCAGAACTGCTGAAAAGGCATTGTGAAATAATTTGTTTTCTACAGTTAGTTATGAGAACCATATAATGTCGCATGGCCGCTATTGCGGCCACGTGATTTTGGATTTCTGATGTTTTACTTATTAAGCCTGGAGGTATTTCTTCCAAGAGCCAGATAATTACGAGATTGGTTTCTGTGGCTCTGGAGTCATGGCCATGCTGGAGAGCCGCTCATGGGGGCAACACGTGACCTCGGTAGGGCATGAAGGATGAGTCGGGAACGCCCCCCTTCCCATGAGGTTTTCTAATCTTTTTTTTTTTTTTTTACCCCTGGCGGTGCTCAGGGGACCATATGGGATGCTGGGAATCGAATGCGAGTCGGCGACATGCAAGGCAAACGCCCTATCTGCTGTGCTATTGCTCCGGCCCCTCTAATCTTATTTTTATTTATAAAATATCTCAAATACAGGGGAAATAACAGAACAAATAACTTTTTAAAATCAAAACTTAGCAGTGGATCATATTTATTTCATATACACTAATTTTTAAATAAAATTATGAATTATCTTGATGTGTTCTATTATTCCTCCTTTCTCCAGAGGTAAGACCATTCCAAACCTCATGCTGCTCATATTCAAGTGTTATTTTGTAGCTTAAAAAGAGTGCAATTTCTACCCATTAGCTTAGTCAAGAACTCTGAACTACTGGTAGAGGTACAAACTTAACTACTTCTAAAATTGTGGAATAAACAAATCTAGAAATAAGGAGAGCACTAGATAAGTTCTTCAGTCTTTTTTTTTTCTTTTTTCTTTTTGGGCCACACCTGGCAATGCAATGCACAGGGGTTACTCCTGGCTCTGCACTCAGGAATTACTCCTGGCAGTGCTCTGGGGACTATATGGGATGCTGGGAATTGAATCCGGGTCATCCGTGTGCAAGGCAAACACCCTACCCGCTGTGCTATTGCTCCAGCCCCAAGTCCTTCAGTCTTTCTGAAAATTACATTTTCTTCTGGGATGATAATCTTTGTCCTACTCATCCAACTGGGGTGGGATAGCAATAAAATGCAGTAATAAGAATGACTGTTCTTTGGACAAAGATAAGTGTTAGCCACATCTAAAGGTCTAGCACTTTCATTAACAGCTTCCTTATGTGTCTTACTCCCTTCACGACGTACTAGTTTATTTGATTTGTTCTCAAAGTTGAGGGAGTAGCCCCCACTCCTACTGAGTAAGAACTTGACTCCCAGCTTGATTCATAAGCTTTAATTAAAACCGTCTCAGGCTTTGTCTTTCCAGAAAAAAAAGACAGAATTCTTTTACTCTTTTCTCCAAAGAAAAGTATTCGATGACTTCTGTAATTGTTTTTCTAATGTTCTCATAAGTCGGCATATCTTTCTGGCGGCACGGTGGCCAGAATTGCCTGCGGTATTGCAGGTGCAAAAAATTTTGAAGCAAAGATTCAAACATTTCAAAGCATAATTAGATGTAAATTAAAACCAAACCAGATAGAATCCAATAATATCAAAACCACAATGAGATAATCCCTCCTACTCATTTAAATGACGACTATCAAAAATTTTAAAAGTTAGCAAATGTTGGGGAAGATGTGTAGGAATTGGAACCTTATAACTCTGTATGTAGGAATGTGAAATGGTGCAGTTGCTATGGAAACAGTAATCCCAATTAATAATAGGTGAATCAAACTATTAAGAAATTTACCTTCTGGATATATATCTCAAGTAACTGAAAGAATATATACTCATGTTCACAACAGTATTGTCACAATAATATTAAAAAATAGAAACAACCCACATTTCCTCTAAGAGATACATAGGCAAATAAAAATGGTTTAGAATAATATATTCACTGTCACTGTCACTGTCCTCCCGTTGTTCTTCGATTTGCTCGAGCGGGCCCAGTAACGTCTCCATTGGAGACTTTGTTGTTACTGTGTTTAGCATATCGAATACATCATGGGTAGCTTGCCAGGCTCTGCCATGCGGGCGAGATACTCTCGGTAGCTTGCCAGGCTCTCCGAGAGGGGCGGAGGAATCGAACTCGGGTCATCCATGTTGGCTGCGTGCAAGGCAAACGCTCTACCGCTGTGCTAGAATATTATGTAGACTTCAAAAGAAAGGAAATTCTGGCAAGCTACAACACATTTGTACCTTAAGGAAGGACACAATGGAACACTATACACAGGTAAGAAAGGGAAAAGTCATGCACACTGTTGTAACATGGATGAAACTAGAGAATCTCATGTTGAGTAAAGTCAATCAGAAGAAAAGAAGCATGTGAGTTTTGAAGATACACAGCAAGCAGCAGCAAAATCCAAAGGCAACTGAACTAGAGAAGTGGTCTACAGAACTGAATTTGTAGGGAGAGGGGTGGGCTTGATAGGGAGGAGCATTTGGAACCTTGGTGGAAGGAAGTGGATACTCTGGTGATGGATGTGATATTAGAATATTATTGTATGCAAGCAACTAATATTAGTAGCATTGTAAATTGTTGTACCTCAATAGAGATACAGGGCCAGAGTGATAATACAGTGGGTAGTGTGTTTGCCTTGCATGAGGCCAACCCTGGTTCAATCCCCAGCATCCCATAGTCCCCTGGACATTATCATGAGTAATTTCTGAGTGCAGAGGAAGAAGTAACTCCTGAGCAATGCCACTGTGACCCAAAGAGTCAATACTAATAATATAATAATACAGATATAAAACACTAACAAATTATTTATAGTCTAGAACCAGGAATGCAGGTTAGGAGTGAAGCTGGACACACCCAAAGGGGTGCCAAGGAAAGCATTCTTCACCATGCTGACCCTGCAGAAGAGAAGGAGTGTTTGCGCAAAGAGAGAGCCTGGAAGGCAAACCATCAGAACAGTCATCAGGAACGGGAGGGTTTCTCCAGAGGGTGAAAGGAGGGTGGGTAGGCAGAGGGCATGAGATGGGCAAAGGCACAGAACAGAGGTGAGGGAAATGAATCTACCAGGCATCTTCTTGAAAGTGTGAACATTTCCTTGAAACCCAGGAAGAACAAAGGTGGGAAAAGGGGCAAGAACCAGACAGAGCCTGATGGAGAGAGGAGCAGGGGAATAGACCAGAACTGCTCTGCCTACAGGGGAGAGGCAAGTTTGCTGGTATCTGAAGCAGAAAAGTCCTGATCAGCTCATTGAAAACATCTTGGGAAATGCAGTGAAATAGGTAGCAGGAGTCAAAATTACAGGGGGAGTCAGGGGTGCCAGGGGATCAGATGGCCAGCTGGTTAGGGGAAAACTGGGTGAAACACAAGGGTCAGAGACTGGATATAGTGGAAGGGAGTTGTTGAAGGGGGATTCACTTGAATGCACTTGCTCTCTCAGTGAAGGAAAACTTAAAGCACTGGCTACATGCATCCTCACATTATACCTACAAGGCTATTCACTTTGCCTTGTTGGCTAAAGATCAATACTCTTGTTCAAAAATTGAAGTGGGAGAGCGCAGATTCTGCAAATGGACTCCAACAATCATTACCCCGGCTGGCTTTTAGTGCATCTGCTTCCAGCTGGGCTCATGGAGTTAAACTTTGTTGGCATTCCAAGGTTTGGTTTCAAACTAGACATCAAAATCTCTTTCCCTGCAGATCAAATTCCAGCATTGAGGCCTTTGTCCTCAAGAACCCAAGCCAGAGAAACTGCAGAGAAGCCCAGGGCACTGTGCTGGCACTGAAGCTAAAAAATACTATTGACAGTCACGCTGTGTGTGACGGGAGAGTCAAATGGAACAATGCCTGAGAGTGAGGAATCTGGGTTCAGGAACACAAATATGAGTGGGAGTGACAGTTTTAAAGACCTTTTTAAAATCTGTCGTAGCATCCACTAGACCTTACCTCAGGTATATGGACAAGACCATGATGCAGTTTATTTAAAAAGTTGAAAGGATGAGAAATCCAACCAAATATTACAGAAATTAAGTCATATCCACTAGATATTATTAAAAAACTGACCACTCTGTTAATGAGTTAATTCTTCAGAGAAACATCCCATTTGAAGTAGTAATAGAAAATTATTACCAGAAGACACGTAGAATCCTGTAACTTTCAACTGCCTAACCAGCTGAGAATAAATCATTCACTCTAATGGTAACAACTATTAAAAGTTCCTCAAGTTCTGTCTACATTCATCTACATTACAGAATTATAGTCATAATCTCAGACCCTCTAGAAAAACTTTGCCCAACTATTGTCAATACTTGACCAAGAGTAACGGGTACATTTTCAAATCCTTGATTTTACAGCAGCCCCTGTTTACTCTTCTCTTCTTTCCTCCTGTTTTCCTAGGTCCCACCTTGAACTGTTTCAAAAGCCTTATAATCAATACAAGTTCATTTTATAAAGTAGGCAGTTGGTTAAGGTTCTATAATTAAGTACCAAAGCCCCCAAACATACACCTCTCTTACTGGAAAGACAGAGGGCCAGCGAATCATTTGAGTCAAAAGACCAACAAGTAAAAAATTCCATGTCTCACCCAATTCCACATCTTGATCGTCAGTGAGTACAAGAATAATGTTGGGTCTGATGTTTTTCCGTTCCTGCTGGATCCGTCCTCTGAATCTCGGGGACCTGACTGTTGAACAGAGGCTCCCAAGAAGCTCTGTGCCCAGGACAGCCAAAACCAGAGCACAGCCAGAATACTTCATTGTGTTGGATCCAATGTTGCAAAACTGACGGAATGGCTTAGGCTCCTGGTCTCTGCAGGTCTGGGCAGTCAGAGAGAAAAAAAGAGAGAGAGAGAGAAAGAGAGACACTAAAATGAAATCCAAACTCCAAACCCGGTTGCAGAAAAAAGGGCTACGACGAAGTGAGAAGTAGCACATAAATTGGCAGAGAACAGGCTGCGCGTGAGTCAGAAGTGGCCAACCTCACAGACGGTGGGGAGTTTTGTAAGCACTTGGTGATTTTGCAAATTCACTTTTGTCCTTTATTCTCATTCCAACTTTTCCTAGTTCAATTCATGGCCAAATTTCCAACACGGAGCTCAAATGCACAAGCTTTAGGACAAGAGTTAATACCTTGAATTAGTATCCTCGTTGAATAATCAATTTCTATGCTCAGAGGTACTCAGAACATCTGCAGATGTGGTCCTAGAGGGGAAGGGGAGGGAAAAAAATAGAAAAGAAACGTCAGTCAAGAAGTTTGACAGAGATTTCTGGGGTCTGAAGTCCTGAAGAGTTTCTTGAAACCGCGCTCTGCAAAGGAGAAACAGAAGGGCACAGCATGCAGAACTGTGCATGATGAACTCAAATCATCTCACTTCAGAATCAGCTCCAGAAAACAGTGCTCAGAGCATCATCCCTGCTCACAAGCAGACTGGACTTTAAACAGCCCCAATGAAAGTAACACTCCTAACAGCCATGCCTGCGAGCCCAGAAGCCCACCACGCTTATGAGCTCTGTCTTGGGGGAGCTGCTGCTTCAAGGCGGCTTGTGGAAGGGAGCGTTAACTCACCTGCATTTGCTATTGAGTACTTAGCAAGTGGAATGAAGCGCAAAGCTGTCATTTGTCATCTGCATTATGTCATTCACTACCCGGGTGAGTTCTTTCTGCTGACAAAGACTTCATAGTAAGTGACTGGCAGGGTAACCTTTCCCAGCCTCTGAATAGCTGCTAACTGTCCTCCATCAATCACCAGGGGAAGGGGCTCTTCCTCCAGGCAAGGCTGGTCCCTCTGTCCAGTCTGTGTCCTCAGCACTGGTGCCTAAGGGGACAGAACCCTCTTTCAACTGTCAGCACCAGCCTCACTATTAGCGCGATCTGGTGCAGTGCCGGCCGCCCAGAGCTTTGCTTTGCTGCAGCAGATCTCAACCTGCAAAGCAAAATGATTGATTTGCTCCGAGGCAGGAGGTTAGAGGCTCTCCTTCCACACAAGAAAGAAGTAAATAAAACTGGATGGGAGAAGCATTGCAAAATCGTTGCAAATCTGCACTGGGAGGGGACTTTTGAAAGGGTTGCAAAAAAAATCTCCCTTCCGTTTGAGATCACCAACCTGCTGAAAGCTTTGCTCTTGCATAGCTGAAAGCTAGCAAAGGGGTTATCCCCCCAACTCCCGCCACACCCCTCCCCCACCCTCCCAAAACATCTTGCATGACATGAGGAATATCTGCACGGGAATTTCAGCTGCCCTAAAATTAATTAGATAGCAGCCCACTTCGTCAGTCATTCTGTCCCCACACACCTGAGGGTCTGTATTTTGACCCACAACAAGAAACTGGCCTCGGTTAAACAAACAGAAGGAATTAAGCGTGAGCACTGCCAAGCAGGAGGAAAGATGCTCCCCCCCACCCCGCCCACTTCCATGCCTTCCTTCTGGACCATGGGCCATGAAAGAAGAAAGAGTGTGTACTGTTTACTCCTGCCACACACATTATTTTGTTTTACACAAACACATACCCCTATTATTTTAAACTTTATGAGATGTTTTGTAAACAGTCCTAAGGCTTTTGACTCTGCAGTCTATAATTACAGAGAGAGGGAGGGAGGAAGGGAGAAAGAGAGAGAGGGGGGGAGAGAGAGAGAGACTTAACACCCCCCCAAAAAAAGTTTTTTTTAAATAAAAATCTCATGTCTGCAACCAGGCAGTCCCAACTGTCCCAACTTCATTGTCCCCTAGAGCAGCGAACATGCCACCTCCAGCTGACCCTTTAGTTCTGAGAAAGTGAACATGCAGTGCAGTGCTCAGTGTTTGGGGGTAATAGCACAAGATCATTTCAGTGACTGTGCTGCGTGCTGAACACTGAGAAAGCCCACAATTGTTCTGGCCTGTATACATTTGTTTCACATCATGAGAAAAATGATATGAGGACAAACAGATAGGAAAACAAAGGAAATTACATGTCAAACAATAGTTTTCTCCCACAGAACAGAGAGCTCAACTGCTATCTGTGTTTCTGGAAGGCCGATTCATTAGGGAGCAAAACTATGTACACCTCTCCAAGTCCACAAATGTGATTTAAGATAGGAGGGGTTTCTTCCAGCCTGTCTTGGAAGCGAAATTCTACTGATGCAAATAACCTGGAAAGCAGTGTCTCAGATTCACTGGGTCATGTATGGCAGTGGCACACGGAGTTCAATTAATCAGCCATTCTTGGAACTGAAGAGATAGCCCAAAGAGTAGAATACTTGCCCTGCATGTGGCAAACCGGGGTTGCAACCTCAGCACCCCATATGGTTCCACCAAACCCCTCCAGGAGTCCTCTCTGAACACAAAACCAAAAGTAGGCCCTGACCACCGCCTGGTCTGGTACAAGTTCTCTCTTTCCTCCCCTCTCCCAGAAAAAAAGGAAAACTGTTCTCTCACTAAACTGAACATTCTTTTTTTAAAAAAAAAATAATTTATTTATTTATTGAATTACTGTGGGAAAGTTACAAAGCTTTCAGGTTTAGGTCTCGGTCACGCAAATATTAAACACATTTCCCTTTACCAATACTTATTTTTCACCACGAAGAACCCTAATAGACCCCCATCCCCCCACCCCTCCCAATGCCTGTGAGGCAGATGAATTCTAGTTAACACTCTATCTACTTTGACGAGATTCATTGTTTCGTTAAAAGATGCACCATTATTATTTAGAGTTTACCCCCCCCCCCCAAAATCAGGCATGTTGAAAAAGCATTGTGAAATGATTTGCTTTCTACAGCTGGGTTCAAGAATTAAATGATGTTGCGTGGCCACAATAGTGGCCGCGCGGTTTTGGATTTCTGCTATTTTACTTATTAACCCTGGAAGTATTTCTACTGAAAGTCAGATAATTAAGAGATTGGTTTCTGTGCTCTGGAGCCATGGCTGTGCTGGAGAGCCGCTCGTGGGGGGCAACTGGTGACCTCGGTAGGGCGTGAAGGACGAGCCGGGAACACCCCCCTTCCCATGAGGTTTTAGTCGCCCCATCACCACCGGCTCATACCTGGCTTTCCACAAGGCTCCCAAGTGGCTGCCATCTTTCTTTCCCTAAACTGAACATTCTTGACAATCAAGATACCGATAACATTCTCTGCCACCTCATCAACATTACTGGTTATTTTTTTTTAATTTTCTTTACTTCTTTCTTTAGGGGGAAAAAACGTTTTTAAGGTATCTCAGATAAACTACATTGAAAGTTGTTTCCTATGAAGAGGGAATGTTGAGTAAATGCATTTCTCCCACCCCTCCACCCCCTTATTTTTACTTAGAAAGTGACCTTCTTCTCTGGTGACTGAGAGGAGCATTTCTGCCACAGTTTATTAGCACTGGGTGGGACGACACATATGTAAAAGCACAGAGTGTGAGGGTCAAGAAAAGTGAACGTTCAGGCTGTTGTGAGCCGGAGCTCTCCATTTTTATCCTTTCTCGTTTCACTAAAATATGCCACACTCACCACTCTGGAAAAAAAAATCTGCACACAGACAATTCTTTATTCAAAAAATGACCTTTTAAAAACCTGTCATCCTCTCACTGCTTTCCAGCTCCAGAAGGCAAAGAAGTAAAAAAAACAGGAAGAAAAAAAACAACCTGACAGACAAAATGCAGAACTTGACAAAAGAGACACCGAGGCAAAGCTTGAATTGGATACTTGTATGTGGACGACAAGTGTCCTTAGAGACTAACAATTTGTCTTGCCGAAGTAGTAGAAATGTTTTTTTTTTTTCAAAAAAAAAAAAAGAGAAGTTTTCTCACACATGGAAAGTGAACTTGAGGAAGGGGGTTGTATTCACAAATGAGCACCAGAATACAAGTTGCCTTTTTCTCTCTCTCAGCCATAGGATGAAAACACCCATTGTGGCTTTGGCTGATCAGCGGGGACGGTTTACAGGACTTTGTTTTGGGCAGTCAAACCAAACTATAAATGTGACATTAAAAGTTTCAGGTCACAAAAAGGGTTGGAAAGACTTCAAGCCAAATGGGCAGAAAGTCTTGCTCACATGGACTGATCGAGCCATTTCTCACTGGAAATTGAGGCCCCTGTTGGCCCAATAGTTAAAGGGGAACTTGGGCTTCGACAAAGTCTACCTCATCCATACAGTGTGTGTCAGGAGAGGGGATGTGGCGATGATCTGAGAAGTCCCAGCTTTGTCCTCTGTGGTAAGTTCTTTAAGTAAGACCACGGACTCTGGGTGTGGGGTGTGGAGTGAGGAGTGTACCCTACGGTCCTTTGTTAAGGAACAGGGGCTTGGATAAGCTTACCAAAACTAGGTACTCACTTTCATTTTCACTACTCTGAGGGAATAAGAACTATGAGTGGTAAAACTGCTTTTGCTTCAGTAAAACAAGTGGTTTAGTAACTTGACCTTGAACCCACCTCTTATTTTTTAAAAATTCTTTTTCTCACCAAGTGTTAAAAAATATTTAATTTTTTCAATAGCACAGAGGGTAGGGTGTTTGATTTGCACGCGGCCGACATGGCTGACCCAAGTTCGATTCCTCCGTCCCTCTCGGAGAGCCCAGCAAACTACCGAGAGTATCTTGCCCGCACAGCAAAGCCTGGCAAGCTACCCGTGCCATATTTGATATGCCAAACACAGTAAGAAGACTCACAATGTTACTGGGCCCGCTAGAGCAAATCGATGAACAACAGGAGGACAGTGCTACAGTGCAATAGTTTAAAGTTATTGCATCACCACCAAAGTGCCTAAGCTATCTACCATTGTCTTTTTTGAAAGAAAATTGATTATAATAGTTTAGATCATGTTAAATATTATGGACATTTATTTTCTGTTATGTAGTTTCCTTACGGCAGAGCCTGGCAAGCTACCCCTGGCGTATTCGATATGCCAAAAACAGTAACAATAACAGGTCTCATTTCCCTGACGCTGAAAGAGCCTCTAATACGACAATATTAGGAAAGACGAGGGTAAGGAGATGCTGCTAAAATCGAAGGGCTGGGACAAATGGAGATGTTACTGGCACCCACTCAAGTAAATCAATGAACAACGGGATGACAGTGATACAGTGATATAGTTTCCTCACCTCACCACCACCAAAGTGCCCAGGACCTCCAACCAATGCCCTTGTGTTGAAGATCATTTTTAATTTTCTGTATTATGAGAGAAGAGGACATATATATTACAGATAGCTCTTTCCTATCTCTGGAGTTAAGCTGGATATCTTAAG